TGGAGTCTCAAGTCACGAGCATGTGGTATGACAGGTGATGGAAGCTCGTGCACTTGATGCGGATGAAGTCTCCACCCTCGAGACCTCTTCTTCTCTTCTCTCGTCTCATTGCCCCAAACTAGATATGACACATCGATTGACCACCATCGCGTCCACCAAGAGGGACCGATGTCGAAGTGGCCTTGGTCTGGCAAAGAGACACTGCAAATGGGTCCTTGCTAGCAATTCCTCGAAGTTTGGTGGAGATATCACATGTAACTCATGGCCGTGCAAGCCTCTTCCACCTCAACTCGTCCTCAGCCTGGACGCCAATTGCTTCTTCAACCTCCCTTTCTTCTTCATGTGGTATCACCCCTGGGAAATGATCAAGAACTACTTCTGCTTCACTTTGTCATCCTCCACAACTTCTTTCTGCACCCTTTCTCTTCTCTTCTTCTAGCACGGATTGGAGAGCAAGTTGCCAAGCAATTTCTTTCATGAGATCTTCTTGCATCTCCTCACTCATGCCCCTCTTCAAAGCTCAGTTTGGGATGTGGGAAGGTGGTGGTCGGCTACGACAGGACATTCCTGATCATGATCATCACGGGAGCTCTCCGTGACAACTTCAGTGTGCTCCACAATGTCCTTGTAGCCTTCTTCTTCCTCCTCCTCTTCTAGTATGGTAGCAGAGGGTGATCTGGAGCAGGTTGTGCACAAGATCGCTCAAGATCATCGACGCTCTTCTTAAGGCTCAGGAGGATCTCCTCTGTTTCACGATAGGCCTGGACAATGATCCATCCTGGAGCATGATCTCTCACTGTCTCGAGCAAACTGCTCCATGAGAAGCCTCAATTCATAGTTTGGATCTGGCTGTGGAGTGTAGCATGGCTCTGCAGAATGGCCCGTGAAGGCCGCCATGGGTAACTCCAGCTCCGATGATCCCTTCTGGTTGTGGGAGAAAGTTTTCTTGGTAATGAGGTTGTTCTTGATATGCCCAGGGGTCTGATTGTTCTCCGTAGTAAGGGGGTTGGTACTGGAACCCTAATCCATAGTCTTCTCCTCCTTGATTGCTCCAGGGGTCTCGGGGTAATACCACTCGGATGGTGGTGGATACCCCCAATGGTTGGAGAAGCCATGAGGATCCATGATTCAGATCTGCACCAACAAAACAAAAACACCCAAGTGAAAAGCAAGGGTGGAAAAGAAAACGCTAAAGTAACAAACTTCTGCCTTTCCTAATACTCTAGAAAGTCCCCGGCAACGGCGCCAAAAACTTGACTCGCTATGACACAACTCCTAACAATGGCCAAGTGTAACCAATGAAAGGGACTGCAGTATAGTGGCTCAAGTAATAAATATCGAATCCACGGGTCTCTAGAGTTACTATTACTCAGCTTCAGTTCATTATCTAGCAAACAGATTAAGATGAAAGAACTAAAACTACTCTAGCAAACTACAGTTAAAGTTAATCTAATTACAGGTTGGGAACTCACTTAGGTATGATTCCCCCTAGCCACTAGCCAGATTAACGATTGATGATCTCTAACTTGTTTCACTTTCATTCACAATGCGGAGAATCCTTGACTAGACCTTGAGTCTCGACTAAAGGAACAAGGCCCTCTTGAGTCAATTGCCTAGAGGGACGTATCCTTCTCTAGAACAACCGATCAAGGCGTTCTGAACTAGACTCCCTCTATCGAATGAGGTTCTCAATCGATACAAAGCAGTGAATCAACCCTCGACTAAAGCAATCGATCCAATACTATCAATCTATGGTGCTCTATTGACCTAATCAGGTATTCGCTCTCATAGGATCAAAGCAGAATCAATAATCTCGACTAAAGCAGAATTGAATCATGAAAACATGCATAGATTGAATATGAACTCAAGATTATCAAGTCAGAGTACTCATACAATCATCCAATCAAACAAACATAGCTAGGGTTCCTCAAAACCTAAGTGAAGGGAAGTTACTCCATAGAGAAGAGAGAGACTGCAGAAATCTGATCTAGATCTTCAATCTCCATCTCCAAGCTTGATTCCCGAGCTCCAATGGCGAAGAAATCCTCCAAAATAGCTCCAAGAATGTTCCCAAGTCGCTCTCTCTCTCTAGGGTTCGTCCCTTGGGTGTTTGGGATCCAAAACCCAGCTCTCCCTCTCCAAAAATCGCAAAACAGCTTTTATACCCGCTGAAACTCGCACCCCCTACTTGCACGGCCGTGCAAATTGAGGTTTTGGCCGTGCACAATTTCCAGCATGCACTCCTAAGCTTCGTTGATCTCGTTTGAGCTCGTTTGACCTCCGATTCAGTCGCCGTTTGATCCCAGACGCTCGTAGTCTCGTCCTCTTTCTTTTCATAACAAGCTTGCATGATTTTTTGTCCATAAAGTGAGGTAGAAATCCATTCTTCTTCAGGTCATGGCCGAGTTTCTTCTCCCGAATCGTCGATTGATCTCTGATTGACTTGAAACTTGCGCCTATACTTCACTTTATGTGCTAGGACCTGAAATGTGAGAAAGGAACACAACCTAGCATAAAATAGGCCAAAGACACGATAATTCAAGCTCAAACAATCAAGAAACAAAGGGGAAAACATGTGCAAATACCGAGTCATCACCTGTCTCCTTTGATCAGACCTTCCCCTTCCACCAGTAGCACCCCTTGGACCTTCAACGTTCCTGCTTCCTTCTCCTCCTTCCAAATTCTGCACATTTATCCAAACACATTTTATACTTCAACGATGGTTACAATTTTCACAATTTATCCAAACACATACAACACCAAACTTACCCGTTCTGCCCGAAGAACCGGACAAGTCCTCACATTATGGTCAGGAGCATTGCACCTCTTACAATGCATTACAGACCTGAACTTCCTCATAGCAGATCAATCACCACCATGTCGAACTGTCTCAATCTCCTCTGGTGTCTTCCTCCGTTGCTTCTTCGGACGTCCAGGTAAGACATTGAATTTAGGAGGATAAATTGGGTAGCCTACTGATTCTGGCCAAGCTTGTTGGCCTTCAATGGTAGGAATACCAAATTCATATGCCATCTTGAACGACCCAATAGTGTAGTAAGGAGACACGACTTCACTTGGCTCTATCCTCTGCCATTGAAGGCAAGCAATTGCATTTACACATGGAATTCCAGTCAATCCCCACAACCCACAGATGCATATCTTTTCGTCCAAGTCTAACACGTACCCCTTACGGTGAATGGCAACTTCAAACTTCTTCTCCAAGCCTGGAATCACTTGACACATCTTGGCTAAATCCACACCCTTTCTAATCTTCTTCTCTATCCTAGGACAGAGGCGATCCCTCCAACCACCAGCTTGCACATTCTTTTCAACTATTCTGACCATGAGCTTCCTACGGATACCTTCGAGCATGTCAATGATCCTATCCTCCCTCTCTTCTAAGATATAACCATTGAAGGTTTCACAAATATTACTTTCCACCGAATCACATCTGGAGGTGTGACTCATAAAAGCCCTGCAAAAGGTTCTGGTTGATGATCCAAAAAATCCTGAAGTAAAGATGGATCTGCCCCACTTTGTTGAATCTCCCCCATGACTTTGGTGACTGCTTTGTAATCGTTGATGTTTGTTGCATACACAGCCTCCCAGTATAAGTCTCTATATGCCTTAACCTATGGTTAACCTTCAAATTCGCGAAAACATGACGTGCACACTTTCTTAGCGATGCCTCAGGTAAGCAACTGTTTAATGCTTGCACAAGACCCTACAAACAAGAAGATAATGTAACCCAAATCTAATGCAAAGCAAACATTCCACACAACAAACATTCTAAAACACATACAAAACACGTAGAATATTTACCTTGTATTGGTCAAATATGACTGTCCACCCACTACCATCAATGGTCCTAAGATCTTGCTGTAAAATAGAACCAAACCACTTCCATGTTTCAAGACTTTCCCCTTCCACTACAGCCCAAGCAATAGGGAACATCCTGTTGAATCCATCTTTACCAACAGCACTCAAAAGCATCCCTTTAACCTCACCTTTAAGAAAGCACCCATCCAAAGCAAACATTGGTCGGCAGCCCCTAGTGATACCCCTTCGAAGCCCACTAAACCCAATGTACAACCTCTTGAACAACACTCGGTTGGGCACATTAGACGGGTCAACCTCTAGAATAAAAGTACCGTCTCTATCCCTCTCTTTCAAAGCACCAACATACCTCCTAAGCTTGCTATACTCCTCTATCAACGACTCTCCTAACATCCGCTTGGCATATATCCTCGCCCTATAGCATTGCTCCTCGAAATTATAACATTATGCGTTTGCCTCAGCTCCAACATCATATTCTTTACCTTCCAATCAGGCTCCCTTCGAAAACGTTCAATGTACTTGTTAGCCACCCAAGTTGCATTTGCAACCCGCATCCGGACAGCCCTAGGACAAGTGTGATCCTTCCCAAGATTCTTCACCATAAACAAAGAACGAGCATGCCAACTACCGTAGATATACCACCCACACTTCTGGCGACATTCAACACGCTTCTTATTCTTGTCACTTCTCGTCCACTTGATATTGGCTCCAATTGAGATGGAATGCTCCTCCACTGCCTCTTTGAACTGCTCCGGGGAATAGAAGCTCATTCCCACCGTGAACTTTAGTGTAGAATGTTCACATCTGGGGTCGT